AAGCACACCGTGCATAGTTGCATCATTCCGAATTTTGAAGAACAAGACCTGGAAAACGGCCTGGCATTCGAGGTCTCCGGTGAAAGGAAGGTAGGTTGAAGGGAATTCGCACACCAGTGCGGGTGGAGAAAAGTCGTCGAACATAAGGACAGTCGACAATGGACAAGAGGATCCGTCCTCTGGACAGAGAAGAATGGCAGTTGGTGGAAGGTACATTATGAGCAGATCTGAACGGCGTTCAACGCTCGAGTCAGATCATCTGGTGAAAAGGGCATCAAGGTTCCCTTTGTGGATATTGGCGGCGGTGGTGACACGGCGCGAAGGATCGGTGAGGTGTACCGTACCGATTCCTTGATTTGCGCAATGGAATCCATTCGAGCATCGTCAGAGTACAAAGTCATCGTCGAATCACTATAACTGCTCGATTCGACGGCAGTAGAAGACGACGATCCCGAAGATTCTTCCTGTCGACCCGGAGCGTACTCGTGGTGGGAAACAGTGGCGGAGGCTGGTCGTTGGTCAGAACATCGTTACGTGTATGCTTGCGGATTGCACCAGCATGAACAGAGGGCACGTGTGGAAAGGAGGTAATAGCCACTTACAGTCAAGCAATCCCACCTCCGGGGGTGCTGTCTCGCAGATCTGGTCTGGAGCCACGCCTTCGTCCTCGCTCTCGCCATGACGCGGGTTCAAGTACTGCGATAATGTTGTACAAGGAGACAGTGGGGGGTCTAACGCGCGGGGGCGCTCAGCCTGCGCAGCCTCGAATGACCAGGCGGCCAATCTCTTTTGGTGTTCAGGATCGAATGGGCCGCGGAATTTGGACGGCGGGATTTCACCGCGTTTGTAGTACTCGATCTTGATCCCATTGCCATTGCCCTTTCCGTTCGATTTCGATCTGGAGTTGCTATTGGAATTCGAACTCGAGTGGCCATTGGAGTTTCGGTGGAACACCTTTCTGAACTTGTCTTTGAAGTTCATTGTGACAGAAAGTGCCAGGAATTGTAGAGTATGTCGTAAGGTATGGGTGTAGTGAGGTGTTGCAAATAGGTGTTGAGAATAGTAGTAGTTGCTCTATAGCGCCTCAATGCAGACCAGTCCCGGTGAGGGCACGGATGCGGGGGAGGGTGTGCAAGCACAAACTACGATCGACTGTAGTAAGAGACCTTTGGTTCATCGTTTGATTATATGAGGCTGGGCTAGGGCAGGAGAGGCAAACTCCAGGAAGGAGAAGAAAAAATGATCATTGAGGGGAAGAAGAGGGAGAGAGAGGGAAAAAGACGGATGGAGGAGAGATTATGGAGATGTACTATGTAGATGGAGAGGCGGGTACGATGCACCGGATAGGGTACTATGGAATCATAGATACTAGACTAAGGTAAGTTGAGTAACATACGGGCACTGAGCAGATTAATTAAATAGAGATTGACTGTGAACATTATTTAAATATGTAATAGTTACCATCAGTTATGGCGCAGATAAGCCATGGGACTGAAGGCGTAACATCTCGGGACCTAATCCGGTGAGGGCAGGAGAGAAAGGCACACCGGCCGTAGGTAGTCCGCATTTCCGTACGGAGTTATCTACGGAGTAGTAGATTACAGAATTACCAGAAAATGTGGGGAGGCAAAACCAGGAGCACAGAGGACAAATATACATATGCAATTAGTCTGTGCTTCTTATTTGTTCTCGCAATCTTACTGCAGCTGGAAACTTCCTGGAAGTCGGGGCGTTGAAATTGTGCTGTTCTGAGAGGGTGGGGGAAAACAGCGAAACCCACTTGGCCATGGCTCTGTGCGTCTGACGGGTTAGGTCATAAAACGCCCCAAGCGATGGAATTGTTTGAGTACCTACGAGTATGTACCTTAGGTTTAAAGAGATCAGAGCCCGTCAACCTTCTTGACAACCTTCATGATAACTATCTATGGTAGACTAGGTAGGTGACTACAGTGACACCTTAAAGATGCAACCCCAACTTCCAGTTCTCTGAGTTTTGTTGAAATTGCGAGGTGAGAAATGATTACTCCATTCGGTGGTCGGCCGATCGAAGCCGATGTCAATCCGAGCTCTTCCATGGGTGGCCAAAAACCAAGCGTGCCGTGTGTTCCTATCTCGCACGAATCTCGCACGAAGTTTACCTTTTTGAGAGTACCGCATTTCACCTCAACCAGTCAACCAGTCTTGGACCACGGGTTAACTTGTCCTCGGGTCAGTCCATATAAGTCAATTCATGGTACAAACATGGCCACTTCTCGCCAAGCATTCCAGTGTTCCTCTGTGCCAGGGAGGTAACATTAGTATGTGACCCTGTGCGAGAGTGGTGGCAAGCGCAGTGATTTATGACGGCCATCTACTCCGTATTCTCTCTGCACAGACGTTATACTCGATAATGATACATATTAATTGTCATAGAAAATACCTCACACATGATAATAGATAGGTACTGTAGCGCCCAGTACGTAAGAGAACCTCTGTAGGACTGGATACTTCCGCGGGCCCTGAGGAGGCCTGTAATAGGCTGGCGCACTCCTTGTAGTCGCCCGTCCTGCAGCGAACAATTCCAGAATTACGGCCAAGACGACTGGTCTGAGAGCCACCACCAACCAACCTAGCATCTTAATCTAAAGGATCCTGATTGCCACCGGGATCAAAATGCGACATACATCATCTCGCTGTCCTCTGTACTCTGGGCATCATTTCTGGATTCAGAACCCCCAGACATGTGCTGTGCCATCGTGACTCGCTTGTACAACGTCAGCGAAGAAAGACGGGGCAAAAGGTCTCGTCCAGGATAACCCCTTCACGTAAATTATGTAGATACCGGGCGTAACTTACTCCGTCGACCGTTCCGTCATAGTTGGCGGAGGTGATTCAGAATCAGCGAATCAGTTGGGTGGGAGGTGGGAGGGCAGTAATGTCCTCCACCGGAGTGAGCGATTTCATGCCTGCCGAGTGCCCCACTCGGCACGGTGTTTCCGGCGAGACTGTCTCTGCTGATTGATGTAGCTAAAAGAGGACAATTCTTCCATCAGCTAGGCCTGCTGGCCCAATGGTAAGGCGCTTGACTACGGATCAAGAGATTGCAGGTTCGAATCCTGCGTAGGTCAATATTTTTGCTTTTTACGGTGTACGTTTTTTACTTTTTCTTTAAAAAGCTTATAATTCGCTCCCTCTGATCAAGCTTGTCAACGTGCAGGAGGGATTCTGAAGTGTGAATTTTACTACTGATGTTGAATTCCTTTGACGAAGAAGGCTTGCATTCAGCCTTAGCACAGGCCAGACCAGGAATGACTTACGTTGCTGATTGCTACGCATGATGTCAGCCCAGCATTGCTGAACTGCCTTGTAGAGAGGTACTTATGGGGTACAGTACGGGCCACGACATTTGCCTTTCTAGAAGTCTCGGAAACCTCCTTGTAATTGCTTCTTCTGCTCTGGATGCCTTATTTCGGGCATTCATACATCAAGATGGCAGAGCCAGTACTGTCTTCAGCCGGCATGCGTGAATTGACTTTATAGGATGGCATTTATAGAAGGGCGTCTTTCTCCAGTCCACGTCGCACTTATCCTTTGGGGATGCTTTAAATGAAGTTGACCATGTGGCAAGCCATCCTTTGATGGCAGGATAGTTTATCCAGCCATGTATTTGAGTTCTAGATCCCCATGGATGGTTTCTATGTTTGTTGTGTTCACTAGGACGGCTGTACATATTCTTCCATTTGTATGTCCCCAATTATATATCTCACGTGGACAAGTCATATTCATCCAGGTTTCCCGCACGACTACTCGGACAAAGACCGAAAGCATACTCACCCATCTCCAGTGTTAAAAGTCCAGAAGAAGACTTCATTGCAAATATGTGCGACCTCCGGAAGCAGCCAGTGGCTGGCACGTCTCTACGGTTTGCGTTCTACTCAGTAGGAGGTAGATTCTTTTCAAGCTATACATGCACCTATAAGCAATGACACAGTTCTCACCTTTCTAGCTAGTCGTCAAGCATATCAGGTTTAATGTTGATACTAATACTTCATCTCAATAACACAACATGTCCATCCGAAATAGGCAGTTGATCAGGCGTCCGGAACAAGGTTGATCCGCTGCTAGGGCTGGGAGTGAAACCGCCCTAAACCCCCTTGAGCAGCTGCAGGCACACGACCCGCGATCGCCGGAAACGGCTTGGCTGTCGTCCTTTTGATCCTGTCGAACACAGCAAGCATGGACTGCATAGCTCATAGATACTCATAGTTCATGATTTACTAATCAGAAACAAGAAGGAATAATGACATTGATCATGCCCACTATGATCAGCAGGCAATTGACTAAGCTGTTTCTATAATAGTTAGTTAATCTTAAATGGTTCAAATGCGTCACCAGCAGGGAGAGCTGTTTCGGACCCAGATTGAACCGTGGCTGAGACCGGCCATCCCCTCGCTGATACGGTAGCCAGAATAAGCAAGATTATCATCATTACTGCAAGGACCTACGAATAATATAGGGACCTACGAATAAAAGTCCTCGGCCCATGGGTAGTGGGTGCTTGCGACGCAGCTCATGTGACTGTTGCCTTTGAACAATTCTCTCATCTTCCAGCACAGTGAACTCCGATCCAGTACAAGACCATCTCTGCTACTAGTAGTTCAATTGAATCCGACACTGACATAGACACAGCTAACTCTCGAGGTGGACTAATTCTGAGTGAGTACCTAACCATTGTAATGCGCGACTGCCTCAGCACCCGGATTAACCTTCCCCGATGTCGATTAGCATCCCGAAGAGAAGAACCAAACATACCAGAATTGCCGTCGCCTTCCTAACTGTTTTTAACAACTCCCTACCTTAACTCGCGCCATCTATCTCTCGATTTACGTCTCTTATCGCGCCGCACAAGACAGTAAGTACCCGCTGTCTTTTCTCGACTCCGACTGCACTCCTAGCTCCGCCCTTGGGTGGCATATTTTTCTGACATTGCTCCCCCAAGGTCCCACAGGACTCAAATCATCATGCCTAAGAAAGGTGGAAAGGGAAAGAAGGGCAAGGGTAAGGGCGGTGGCGGCACAGCAAAGAAGGCACCCACCGTCCAAGAGCCTGTGTAAGTTGCGCAAATCTCCGTCCGTTACGCAAATCCCTCGGTTCGTCTCAGGACTCGCCGCAGGACTGACCGCAGTCAATTATTGACAGAACCACCGGACACCAAGTCGAAGATATTGTCAAGGGCGAAGGCGAAGGCGAAACCACCGAAAGCCTCGCCCCCGGCACTGCTACCAATGTCCCCTCCGCTGCCCCGCCTCAGGCCGCCGAGACAGTCGCCGCGAGCACAGGCGCAGAAGGCACGTCAACCGCAGAGACAACTGAGAATGGCGACTCGTCCAACGAGGAAGTAGAGCAGGTTTCGGGCCCCGGCACCGCCAAGAGGTTCTCGTTGGCGGAGCATCCGGGTGACGCAGAGGGGCGTGAACTCCGCATGCCGTCTTCCTTGCCGGATACAGGAGCAGCTGCCGAATCCGAAGCGAATGAGAACACCCTGCAGGGCGCTGTCGGCAAGACCCAGGCTTCGAAGGCGGGCCTGGTCGGATCGTTGGACGCAGGAGATGGTGAGGGACAAGGTAGGTGTTTCTTGGTCTTTGGAAGAGAGGCACCTAGGCTCACGCACATCTCCAGCTGTATTGCCTGACACGGTCGCCAAAGAATCCCAGTTGACGGCTCCTACGACAGCCCCCGAAACCACCGTTCCCGAAGCGACTGCTACCGAGGCCGCCGCTCCCGTACCCGCCGTCACTGACGCCAACGCCCCAGTGTCGAAGGCGCCGGCCGAAACAGCACTGCCGGAGAGACTCAAGGAGAAGGAAACCGCTACGGCCGAACCGACAGCCACATCTCCGTCCGAGAGTGTGGATTTGACTGGCCATGCAAAGCGCCCATACGAGAGCAGCCTCTTCCACAAGGACGAGGACCACAAGCCTCCCAAGATGGCCAAGGTCGAGGACTCCGAAGCCGCGCCCGCCGCCACAGAAACCAAAGCTGCGGACTTGCAAACCGAGGTGCCAAGCAAGTCTACAGTGCAACCCCTGGTTGTCCCAGGGCTTGGTGCCGAATCCGCAGACAAGCCTCAGAAGGTGGAGTCCGCAGAAGCTGTTGCCCCGACCACCGCTCCTTCGGCTGCCCAGGCTGCTGCCTCCACCACATCCCCTGTCGTTCCCGCTGCAGTTGCTGCCGCAGGTGCAGGAAGCGAAGCCGACGCGGAGGCCAGGCAGAAGCAGGAGGTTAAAGAGAGCATCCGAGCTTTCACCGGCGAGGGACAGGTCCCCGCGGCCAAGGAGCCCCAGCAAGAGCCTGAGGAGAAGGCCAAGGAAACGGCCCAGGAGACCGCACCCGTCAAGACGACCCCGGAGACTCCCACAAAGGCCAAACCCAACGTCGCTGCCGTTGCCGCGGCCGCAGCCATGAGAGGAAAGTCGGCTGCTTCGCCGACACCTGCCACTGAAGCCGCCGATAAGACAGAAGCTGAACCCAAGGAGACTCAGCCCGAGGCTCAGGATCAGGTCCTCACCGAGACTCCACGGGGAGAAGAGGCGGCTGCAAAGGAGACCCAGCAGCCCGAGACCGCCGAGGGCAAGAAGTCGCACGAGGAGGCACAAACGGCCGTGGACAAAGCTCAAGAGGCAGCTAAAGCCGAAGCCGCCAAGGCGGACAAGCGCAAGAGTGGCTTCTGGTCATGGATCAAGCGCAAGGTCAAGGGTACTTGATCGCTTACCTTGCCTGGTCAACTATTCTTATACACCTATATACAAGTATACAGGACGCGACAGAAGACTGCCGAAGAAATAAAGAGAAAAAAAAAGACAAAAGACAACGGAAAATAAAGGATACAGATCCGAATTTTTGTTTGTACGAAAACGGATGATGATTGATGCATTGAGTCGGGCCAGGGGCATCAGGCTGTGTATGATATGGATGGGACAAGATACCAACGGGTCTGGGCTGGAGGCATTGGTCTGAGTTGCTTTGACTGATTGATTACTGCTGGGGGTCTTTACACCCTCGGCTGTTTTGAGATTGATACAAGTTAATGTTAATGGAATAAGTTCTCACCGTACGTCTCCTATAGATATACCGCTCATTGCGAAATGGATGAAGTCAGTGGAGGAAGTTGATATGAATAGCAATAAACTGGGTAACATTGGATACTCGCACAATGGTCTCAGTGGGACTATCCTATGGAGTAGTTATCTACTATGAGCTCTGCAGCCTCTGCTACCTAGAGAGGTGCTTAGTGTAATAATATTGATGCCACTGTCATCATTGCAATCACAGTACCCACTTGGTGGCTGGAAATGAGCAGCGAACACGATCCCCTCCATACTGACGTGGATCGACTCACCATCTTCGTCTGGCTCTCTCGATCATCCCTATTCTGTGAATTCTCAGCAATTGCATCTAGACAGGGTAGTACTATTAATTACAGTGCCTTTGAGATTCAGTTCCCCTCCCCCAACCGGTTTTGTCTGCTCCGTCATGGCTGTGGCTGAGATGAGACCCAGTTTATCCGCTTGTTCCTTGCCCCTCTCTCCTGGCCAAGCTTTTCTAAGCTTTGGATACTCTGCCCTGCTATTTTGGTCATCGATCAGGATGCACTTATAATTGACTGTGGAGGGGTGGATCCAATGAGACATGCTCAGCTCTCCATCTCGGACGGATGCCGTGTTGACTGGCTGAGAATATCTTCTCACTCATTAGCAGGTTAAAGGGCTTCTCTAGTATCCAATCTCAGGATGCTATTATCCGATCCACTGATGCTGTGGTGCCACTTTCCATAGCACTCGTACAGAGGAGCAACACTACTGACAGCCACCCCCTCTTCCCCCCTGTTGATAATGATGACGGTCCTCAATCAGAGAGTGACCCATCTCTGGTTCCCGCCCTGTTTTGCTTACTCTGATGATCCATGTTGATCTCTCAAATTATTCCGATTTAACAATAGGCAGCTAAATATTAATACGTTGCTTTCCTCTACAGCTCCTGCATCTGACCTACTTCCTCTTGCATCCTTCATCTGTCAACGTACCTGCATCTGCATCCGCATACCACCGCCAATATGGTCCACCTTGCTACGGTCAAGCGCGACAGCGAAAATTTTGAACCCCTCGTTAAACGCGTTGATTCTATCAAGCTCGAAACCACCGATGATGACGATTTCTACTCCACTGTATACGGGACTCGGTTTGCGGCGGAGCAGCTGCCCCAGAATGAGATGCCCGAGAGGGAGATGCCCCGTGAAGTCGCTTACCGCATGATCAAGGATGAGCTTAGTTTGGATGGAAATCCTATGCTCAAGTAGGTTGACTTCTCGAATGATTCTGTGGCGCATAGCTGACTTTGCGATAGTTTGGCTAGTTTTGTCACGACGTACATGGTATGCGGGTTACACCTATTTGTAGCTGCAGCTAATTTGAGCAGGAAGAGGAAGCCGAGAAGCTCATGACCGACTCTTTCAGCAAGAACTTTATCGATTACGAAGAATATCCCCAGTCCGCCGAGATCCAGAACCGGTGTGTCAACATGATCGCTCGGCTGTTCAATGCCCCTATTGACAGCGACAACGAGCACCCCGTCGGCACCTCAACCGTTGGCTCGTCCGAGGCCATCATGCTGGGCACGCTGGCCATGAAGCGACGGTGGCAGAACAAGCGCAAGGCCGAGGGCAAAGACACCACACGCCCTAACATCATTATGAACAGCGCCGTGCAGGTCTGCTGGGAGAAAGCCGCGCGGTACTTTGACGTGGAGGAGCGCTACGTCTATTGTACCGAGGACCGCTACGTCATTGACCCCAAGCAGGCCGTCGATCTGGTCGACGAGAATACCATCGGCATCTGCGCCATCCTGGGAACCACATACACCGGCGAGTACGAAGACGTCAAGGCGATTAATGATCTTCTGGTCGAGCGCGGCCTCGACATCCCTATCCACGTGGACGCCGCCAGCGGTGGCTTTGTCGTCCCGTTCATCAACCCCAACCTGCTGTGGGACTTTCGCCTGGAGAAGGTCGTTTCAATCAACGTGTCCGGCCACAAGTACGGCCTTGTCTACCCCGGCGTGGGCTGGGTCGTCTGGCGCTCACCCGAATACCTACCCAAGGAGCTGATCTTCAACATCAACTACCTGGGCGCCGAGCAGGCCAGTTTCACCCTCAATTTCTCCAAGGGCGCTTCGCAGGTCATCGGCCAGTACTACCAGATGATCCGGCTGGGCAAGCGCGGCTACCGCTCGATTATGGTCAACATCACGCGCATTGCCGACTACCTGGCACAGCAACTCGAACAGCTAGGCTTCATCATCATGAGCCAGCAGCGCGGCCGCGGACTGCCCCTCGTGGCGTTCCGCCTGCCTTCAGACCGCAACGAGCAGTTCGACGAGTTCGCCCTGGCGCACCAACTGCGCGAGCGGGGGTGGATCGTGCCCGCGTACACGATGGCGCCGCACAGCAACGAGCTGAAGCTGATGCGGGTGGTTGTGCGCGAGGACTTTAGCATGAACCGGTGCGATGCTCTGCTGACGGATATCAAGCTGGCGCTGAAGACGTTGAGCGATATGGACAAGGCCATGCTGGAGAAGTATACTCTGTAAGTACTGACTCGGACGGATTAACGGGCTATACTGACGAGGTGTGTCTAGACATGTTCAAAAGCACGCGGTTAACTCGCACAAGTCCAAGCATAACCATTCGCACTACAAGAACGAGAAGCATTCCTTGCAGGGCAAGACTGGGAAGACGCACGGAGTTTGCTAGTGATTGAACTCGGATCGCGCAGAAGCGGTAGATAGGATATGATACTTCCACTCACTTCTTGACAAATCATTTGTCTACTCCATAAACTAAGCTCTAGTTTCATATCGCTCCTGGGCTAATGGGTATGACCCACCCTGATGCAACCATGCCCAGGATGCATAACTAGTGCGCGGCGAACTACCCATGTACTAACAACGAGTCATTAGCTGTAGACCAAATGGAGACGGGCATGTCTTATATTCCCCCTTCCCATCTACCTGCCATCAGCCAAGTAAACCAGAACTTCTCATGAAAATGACCTCCCAATCCCCATCCGACCCCCTCATCGCCGCCCTCTGCGGCCTCCTAACCCTAAACATCTACACCCTCCTCCCGCTCTTCATCTCCATCCCCCCATTCCTGGATCTTCGCCTGTCGACACTATATGTCCTCGCGCTACAGGGCCTGATCTCGCTAGTCGTCGTCCGACTCTTCTATGTGGCTACGCGCCGCCCATTCCAGCTGCGATGCAGGAAGACTCTCGTCCTGATGCTCCTGTATGCGGTGTTTCCTGTCCCGAGGATTGCTATCTGGGTGCTTGATACGGTTGTTCCGGGTATTTGTGTGCGGAAGGGGTTTTGTCAGGTTTGTTGTGGTGATGCCTGCTAGGTGGTGAGAGATGCTTATAACAATCGATAAATAGAAATAGTGCGCCGGACTACAGTGCGATTGCTTTCTATAGTCCGGTGCGCGCTGGCCAGGATCTGTCGAGCTATAGTAATGAGCTCAATAGATGTTGATGACCGCTTAAGTTCTTTAAAGGGAGTGATGAAGGGTGGAAATGAAGGAGTTGAGAAGAGGATGAGATGTTACTCGATTTCTACAGTATAGCAGATGGCATAGAAGATAGGGTTCAGTACTGGGATAAGCTATCTACTGAGGTAATCTGCCAATGCTACCATGGAAGTCTTGCCAAGGGCTTCCCTTTTGTATCCTTGGATATCCTTGGAAGAGAGCAGTTGTACATCCTCAAAGAGATGGTGATGCTGCTGTTGGGTGACGTCATGTATACGAGACTCTCTCGAGATGACTGTCGGTAATAACCCTCAGCTGTAGCTTTAGATTCTCCATCAATTGCCTCTCTAAATAGTACTCAGCTCAATAGTCAGTATGAAGCGTCTATCCATTGATCCCCGTCAGAACATCCCCCCAATTCGGGATTCGCCTGCTACTGCACTCCCAGCAAGTCTTCCGGAGGCGAAAAACATCAAGACTAACCCTGCCCGAGCCGGAGAAGGAAATGCATCGGTTTACTTTGTTGGAAATGCTACGACGATCTTGTCAGTAGCTTCTTGCCTCGTATCAATGGGATGCTAATCTGGATAGTGAATGGGAGGGAATGAGGTTGATGACCGATGTTGGTTCATGCTCTGTTAGTTCACTGGCACAAACTGACAAGATAGCCAAACTTCCTTCATGCGGGAGATCATGTCCATCTTGGTCCTGGAGTGACTTCTACGCGTCTAAGAAACCCCGCAGTTGACTTGCACGAACTGCCTCGCATCGACTTGGTTCTTTTATCTCACTATCATGGGTATACTATACTCCCTCCAGCGACCACTGCATCAGACTGACCATTGCAGAGATCATTTTGATGAAAAAGTCGAGGCATCTCTTCGGCGAGACCTGCCCATCATCACCACCAGCCATGCCAAGTCCATATTGACGTCCAAGGGAGCAGACTCCTTTCAGCAAGTGTTCGATCTCGAGCCATTCGAGCAGATGATGGTCAATATCAAAGGCGACAGCTCGCGAACCAAACACCCGCACATCCGAGTCACTGGAATGCCAGGCAAACACATCCCGACCAACAAGGTCGTGGAGAAATTGAACGAGTTCGCGGCGGCAGTAAGCATTTCCTTGACACTGCGATGACATATGGCAATGAACTGACGATCAAGATTCCCCCCACCAACGGATGGATGGTTGAATTAGGCTATGGCAGCACTCAGACTATGCAAACCGATTTCGAGGTCGGCTATCGCATCTACATCTCCGGCGACACGCTGATGGTGGATGAACTCAAGGAGATTCCGCGGCGGTTCGAGGGCCAGAAGATCGACCTGATGCTTATCCATCTTGGAGGCACGACGGTACCTCATCCGAAGATGTGGCCGCTGACCATGATGGTGACGATGGATGCGAAACAGGGCGTGGAGCTGGTGCGCCTGATCAAGCCTGATCTGACCATTCCGATCCACTTTGATGATTACGATGTGTTTGCGAGCTCGCTGGAGGACTTCAAGATTGAGATGCAGAAGGCGGGATTGGGAGGACAAGTGGTGTATTTGGATCGCAAAGAGGCTTATCGCTTCCAAGTGAGAGCGACCTGAGCTTTACCTTGAGATGATCTCGTATTGTTGATCCTGGATCTTATTGGATATCGTCGGATGGATTTAGCCTTGTTCTTTGTGAGCATCGCCTCGTGTTCGGTTGGATTATTTATAGCATCAACAACCAACAACAACAAATCTAGTCATGATTATTCTTCCATCGATTCTTATCCAAATTCCTGTCATCGTCTCCATCAGAACTACTGTTTCCTGTACGTGGCTGCAGTTGTGTTGTTGTTGATTGCTTCATCGCCCCTCTCCTCTCCTCTCCTCTCCTCCCCGCCTCCTTTTCGTCCTCTTTGGACGATCATCGCGTCCATCCCACTCCTCATGCCTTTGTTTCGCAAAAAGCACAAATCCTCGTCGCCTGCTGCATCTCCCGCCTTTCGTTCGGTCGAGCAACTGACCGTACCCCCTCCGTCCACCGGTTCGCCGCCTCGTGTTCCTCCTGAAGATCTTGCGTTTTACCAGCGCTTCTCCGACGTGCGCCTCCCCACTTCTCCTGCGGACCCGCCAGACAACTCGTATTGTCAACAACCCCAACACCAACAACAACAACACCATCCCCATCCCCATCAGCTATATCATCAAACTCATCCCGATCATCAGAACCATTCGGAACATCCACCTCCGTATCAACCTACAATCACTCGGTCGCAAAGCCATCACTCTCCCACTCTGCTCAACTCGGTACTTGCGACCCCCGCTTTACCAGCTGCTACTCACTTCATCGATGCTGACCCTGCCGACCAGTCCAGCGTGGACAGGGCGTCTGAGCAACCGGCTTTGGCCCCCAACGCTCACAATAGCAATAAACAGGATCCGCCGCAAAAGTCCCGCAGGAAGCTATTCGGCCTACATTCCTCGTCCTCGTCCTCATCGACAGGCTTCTTGGAACGCAGCCTATCCGTCAAAGGTACTTCCTCGTCGCAGTCGTCCCGCCAGCGACGGCATCAGCAACAACTGTCGCTAGACACCCATCGAACGCATCGCGATCGAGATCACCAGAAGAGTACCCGAAATATCAATTACCATTCCTCGTCCGAGACAGTGCCCGAGGACCATGTGGTAGACCCGAACCGGGGTAGCTCACAGTCTCTCCTCATGCAGCAGGACACGACAACAGCTCATCAGCGACCTCCCCGTTCCCCGCAGCACCCGCCTTGCATTCAGCGATCCAACACCGATCCGAGCCTTCTCGAGAATTTATACAATTCCTCACCTGTGGACTCGGCTTCTAGGCAACCTGTCGACCCTTCCCACGTCATCTCTAATCAGTCACAGACGCATTTACAGCAGCAGCAGCAGCAACAATCGCCTGTTTCCCAACTTCAAGTGGAGCCGCCGTTGAGTGCACGACCTCCATCGCGACAGTCCGTGGGGCCGCCCTCTCCGTTGCCCCCATTCTCCCATCAACCGGATCCGCACCCATCCTGCGCCCACCAGAGCGGCATGGCTTCATCGTCGGACCGACCGGCCGGTCCCCCGCAGACGCAGCCCCAAGGTCACCCGGCCTTCCAAGGTGGTAGCCAGCAGAATGCCACAGAGTCAGGGCGCAGCACGCCCCCCGTCAATTCGAGCAGAAGAGATGATCTGGGCGAGATCGATGTGCGAGCTTTGCTGCAAAAGCATGATGAACTCCGTAAGATACGCACAAGCGCCCCAGTCGGCAGACATACTGACAGGTTGCAGAGGCCAAATACTCCAAAGTGAAGCGGTACTATTTCGAGAAAGATGCTCAGGTGCAGCAACTGCAGAATACCGTGGCTCATCAGCGCATGGCCGTGTCCCGAACGGTCCTCGACGATAATGAATATGTAAACCGGTTCGCGCGGCTTGATGGCGCCATCAAGGATCTGGCCTTTTCCATTCGGAGAGACTGGAAGAGCTTACCCACCTGGTTGGCTGGCCATGTCAATGAGGACGCACACGCAACCGGCATGAAGGAAATGACGGCCATTGGCCGCGCGACGATGAGCCGATGGCTGGTGGAAGAGATCTTTGAGCGGCATTTCCATCCAGCTCTGGAACCGAACTTGAGCATGCAGCTGAAGAGCATCGAGATGAACCTGCGCCGGCAACAGACCATGGCCTACACGGAGGAGGATCGCGAGAACGCGATCGCGCGGATCTCCAACTGGCGCCGAACCACATTCGACGGCCTCACGGACTCGCTGCAGGGCAAAGCCGCGGAGGAAAACCGGGCGCAGCTCATTGATCATCTCGTGGAGAAATTTGTCGCGTGTCTGGAGATGAACCTGTGTGAGCCTCCGCCAGCGGGGCTCGAGAACGGTGCACGGATGATCGTGGAGAACGCCGTGGGCATCTCGGAGAAGATCCCGCTGGAGTCGCGCGACATCTGCGTCGAGTACTTTATGCCAGGGACGCTGGTCAACGAGGCCGTCATGAAGATCGAGGGGGGCCTGCCGCCGCTGACGAACGTGAAACAGCCCCCCGAGGTGCCCCCTACGCGAGGCTCTATCGAGCACGAGGGCGCTCACGAAGGGTTTGTCGAGGATGGCGACGGCGAGTCCGTGCCTCCATCGGGCGGGAGCAACTCGATGGATGGGGCAACGGCGGGATCCACCCCCGGGCGCGAACAGCGCATGAGATCGGTTTTCAACACGTTGATGGGCAAGCGGCAGGTTCCGGCCGTCGAGGCGAGCCACAGCGGCAAGGAGCTGAAAGAGCCGGTGGAGGAACGAAGCGGCGGCCGGATCCGATTTGCCTCGTTCCTAAGCGCAGAGGTACGCGGGAGAGGGCCTACGAATGTATTGGTCAAGGCGCCTGTATATTTGATATGACGTATGAATTTACGACCTAAATGATAATCCGAAGTCTCTTCAAACTAGTCCGTACCCCCTCCACAGGTCCATTGTAGCTGCCCTGTTAGAACGGAGGAGGACTCAGGTCCAACCCGTCAACCGTCAACTTGAACGCATCGTTGCGCGAATAGCTCCCCGCGACGTCCATATCCAGGCGTCCGCGCTCACAGTCCTCGAGATCGATCTCGGCCACAAGCAGCCCATCCCCGACCGCATTCCCATCGGCATCGGTTCCAGCCGCGCGAGCCGTCGCCGCCGAGTCGGGCGCATCATCCGCAGAGACCTCCCATATGGGGCCGGCCAGCACCTCACCCTGGCAGCCGACAATGCACGATCCCCCGCGGCTGACAAAATCATCGCCATCTATCTCATATCAGCTAGGATCAATATAAAGCAGAGCAGTAGTGACATAGACATACGAGGAACACCATCAGCAGCAGGAGCAGCAGCCGCAGCCGGAGGAGCCGCCACCGGCGCCTCCGTCCCCGTCTCCACCTTCTTCTCTCCCTCGGCCTCGGGCCAAACGATCTCATGCGGCCCCTCGGCCGTAATAGAATGCTTCTTGCGATGCGCCGGCCTGGTCTGCGTCTGCGTCTGCACCTGCGTCTGCAGCTGTTGCGTCGCAGGCACAGGGCCAGGGGGACAGGTCACCCACTCGGGCAACTCATTATACCGCACGCACTGATTCGCCGAGAGCACAAACGCGCGGCCCTCGCAGGCAACCGTCCGCATAAGCGGCAGCCAGGTGTCTCGGGCGTCAGCCGTGGGGGCAAGATAGATATTGACGTTCTGGGCGTAGAGGCTCTGTCTCAGGAGGGGCATATAGTTCTCCCAGCAGATCGCTGCGGCGAGAGTCACGGGGACGCCGTTGAGGTGGGTGGTGACGGCTTTGAGGGTGGAGGGGGAGCCTTGGGCCCAGATAAGGCGTTCTGTTCCTGTCTACACAATCACCATCACCATTAGCGCATCATCTCACCCAATTCAACCTGGAAAAAAAAAAGAAAAGGGAGGGTACAGGCATAACCTTCCTCCTCTTCCCGAGACACCCACGCAGGGGATCCACATAAACAACAGCGCAATACAAACTGCCCCCCGCGCGCTCAATAACCCCCACAACAAGAAACACGCCCGTCTCTCTCGCGACCCGCTCCATCTCCTCCCTCGTCCCATCACCGCGCTCGCTCCGCCCCTCGGCTACAGGCAAGCGTCGATGAACCCAGTCATCCCCGGCCCCCGCAGGCGTATCGCCTAGATCAACCGCCGAGCGGAAATAGGCCAGGAACTGGTCGCGGCCGTGCGGGGCGCGCGAGCCCACCGCGCATCCGAAGGAGCAGGTACGTGGGTATCCGCCTAGATAGGCCTCGGGGAAGAGGAGGAGGTGCACGCCGCGGGTGCGGGCGTGGTGGGCGATGCGGGAGAGGGCGGAGAGGGTGGCTTGTGTTGTTTTGTGGGTGCGGGCTTGGGCGACTGCCACGGTGATTTTGGAGGGCATTTTGTTGCACTTGTTTGCTCCTTGACTTCTGTCCTGGTTGCGGTGTTCTTGGCTGAGCTGGGCTGTTTGATGGAGGTTGGTGAGGAGAAGGTTTTTTAGAGGTAACTAAGCGGGGTACTCTGTAGCGGAGCGGAGCGAAAGCCGAGTCCAGGTGCCGATCAATCTCAGTCTTGAGGAATTGGAATACCCCAGTTAGTCTGCAGTTTTTCTCTCTAGTCAGTTGAACATGAAGATACTCGTATACAGAGGTGACGAAGAGATAGTAGAGAGGTAGTCAGTTGGGGAAGTTGGTGATGTAACGTGATGTCATGTTTCTAGGGTAGCATTGGATGTATGTAGATTCCTTAAATCTATACTACAGTCTGAGTACTCTAAATACACTGATGATCCTATGTACCAAATTCTGGATCAAATGAAACAAAACGATCAACCCGACGCATTCAAATCGCTAGCAAACCATGAATGCAACAAGCCCGGGTATACGCGCGCTAGAACAAGCAGCAACAATAAACCGAAATCAGATGCCGAGATAAATCTTGCATGAAATCATTCTTTTCAATCAAGCACGAGTCGGACGTGTCGCCGTCGTATGCTAGGTTGCATGCCGGCTAAACCTTCGCACCCATGGCGTTGGCGGCCTGCTGCAACACACGAGGCCAGCGCGAGATGAACTCGACATCGTCCAAAGCCCCCTTGCCCTGGTTGCGCACATACTGCGTGCTAGGGTCAATGCGAGGCTCATAGTCCCAGACGGTCGGAGTGCCCTGGATCAGAGCCGAGTACACCAGGCGACGCCGGCGCTGCGACCGCAGCACGTCCTCTCGGATCGCCTTCAGATCCCAGCGGGCATGCACTTCTTCAGTAAAGTGCGCCAACAGCGTGGCCGGATCGGTGGTCGCAGGCAGCGCAGCGGGAAACTTGGCGGGACTGGGGGTGCGTGGGGGAGTCGGGAACGGGAAGGATGAATTGGCGCGCTGGGGTACTGGGGACACACGAGGAGTTCCCGACGGCGTATCGGCCGGTGTAGGAAGAGCTGTAGGCCTGACCTGATCAAGCACGGTACCCTTAACGGCGAGTGATTGCGATGGTACAGCAAGACCCGCAACCAAGTTCACCCGTTCCTCCGGGTCGTTCTCGAGGTCGTAAAGCATGGGGGGGTCGATCAGCGAATAGACGAACTTCCACCGGCCGCGACGGATCATGACAGTTGGAGACTGAGTGCCCTCGGCCATGTACTCGCCCAGCACCGTGTCGGTCTTGACACCCTCCTCGCCAGTGAGGTACGGCATCAGCGACACACCGTCCAGCGGAAGCTCTTTGACCAACGGGGCTCCAGCCATTGCGGCAAAGGTAGGCAACAGATCCATGGTCGAGACGTTCTCCGGAACGCGCTTAGGAGCAAAGCGGTTAGGGGCATGCACGATCATGGGCACACGTGCCGAGTTCTCGTACCAGACCATCTTGTACCACAAGCCTCGCTCACCCAGCATGTCGCCGTGATCCCCCGTGAAAATGACGATGGTGTCGTCGCGCAGACCACAGTTCTCCAACACCTTCAGCAGCTTCCCGACATTGGTGTCGACGTAGGTGCAGGCGGCGTAGTAGGCGCGGCGCGCAGCCTTGATGCGCTCCTCGGGTATCTCCTTGCCCCACAAGTCAATGCACTTGAGGACCCGCTGCGAGTGGGGATCCTGCTGGTCCTGGGGAATGGCAGGCGTCTTTGGCAACGGAATGTCCACGTCTTCGTACATGTCCCAGAATTCCTTGGTCATCGCGTAGGGGTCATGCGGATGGGTCATAGAGACCGTCAAGCAGAAGGGCTGGTCGGTACGGTGGCGGACATGATCATAAAGATACTGCGTAGACTTGTAGATGACTTCTTCGTCATAGTCGAGCTGGTTGGTGCGCACGACAGGACCTGCCTCCATCACAGACGACATATTGTGATACCAGTCCGGACGAATATCCTGTTCAATTAGCGCTGTGTACTACGATCATGGCGCAAGGCAACTCACCGGCTCGTCCCAATTGACGGACCAACCATAGTCCCCGGGGTAAATGTCGCTGGTCAGTCGCTGCTCATAGCCATGCAGCTGATCAGGTCCACAAAAGTGCATTTTACCAGCCAGAGCAGTATGATAGCCTTCGCGGCGCAAATAATGGGCATATGTGGGGATGTCGGCGGGCAAGTCTGAGGCGTTGTCGTAGGCGCCAATCTTGGACGGGAGCTGACCGGTCACCATGACGAAGCGCGAGGGAGCACACAGCGGAGAGTTGCAGTATGCGGAATCAAACACCACACCTTCCCGAGCCAAACGGTCCAAATTGGGAGTCTTGATAGGAGAGTTTTTGTCATGGAAGGCCAGAAGGGGAGCTGCCATCTGGTCCGCCATAATGTAGAGGATATTGGGCTTCTTGGCCGCCATGGTGGTGTCGTTGCCGTCACAATCGCTAAGAAGGATAGTAGTCTAGGCAGACTAGACGAGACTTGAAGGATGAATTAATCTAGAATCAAAATATACACAGGAATTACCAGGACAGAAAGGGAGTGGGAAAATGGGAGAAAAACCCGGGGATGGAGGGAAGAGGAAGAGGACAAGACGAAGAGGAAGAGGAACGGGGAAGATGGATAGATATAGGGAAACGAGTCCAATGGTCCCGAGAGCAAGTGGAGCAAAAGATGACAATCAACAATCAAACAATTTATTGACAAAGATACGGAGTGAAGAGGAAGAGGACGAGAGAAACAAATGGAAGGGAAAAAAGAAAAGGGAAAAAAAAATAGAGAGCCCAAAAAAGGCAAGAAAAAAAAGCAAATGAAGGGATTAAGCAGTAGGAGGCTTCCCCGTTAATTGTTAGATTGCATATCCCCGTGAAATGTGTCTGTTGGTGTCCAATCAGAATGCAGGGTTTATAGTAATTCTGATAAAGTTGCTGGACTAGCTGGAGAATATTTCGCGCTAGTAATTAATACGCCGCAATACAGTACACTAACTGCCACTAGAACATCTACAGAGACAATAGCCCCAGGATTCAGATGGAGGATAGTGATCTACAGGCAATACAGAGTAGATAGAGATACATCATTCACAAACCATTTCGCAAGATGAAACCAGGATTGATCGAGGCTGAGCGCTGGAGGATTTCACCGCCAGTCCGCAGCAATGGAATCATCGGCGGGGACGATGGTGTGATATCCGCTGCTTCTGACTCGAGCGTCGGGGGTTGGTTCCAGCGTCGGATTCCGGGCTTCCAGTCCTCTGGAGTTTCAAGGAGTCTCCTGAAGATCATTTGGACTCTATGATGCTCTATGTCCTTTCTCCATGACCGATACTCGCAAACAAAGGTCTCTTGTGATGAATCAATCTCTTCTCAAAGGAATTGATGCGTTGTTCATGGGAGTCATATAGGTCGCGTGAGTCTAGAGTGAATGGACTCGATTACCCAGCATAGAAAAGTATTCCGGAAAACCAATGACCGTTATGAC